CATCATAAGAAGAAGTAAGACAAGCAAAATATTAGAATTTAATTCAATATCCATCGAAACTGTGCTGCGTACGGTTTTAGTAGTGGGGACTGTTGAATTACTTCATAATGCGTTTGCATAGGATGACATTGTATAACTTGATGGGCCATTTGTAGTACAATTTGGGCCGAACGAAGGATAATTTGCAGGACCAAAACAACCAACAAGATATGGATAAGTTGATGTTGCAAAATAAGCGTAGTTTCCATTTGAATCGTGAAACATTCCATTACAAGCATCGAAACCTGATGTCACGCGTGTACCTGCAGATAAATAAGGTCCATAGATCAAATGTCCATCTTTTGCCACACCAATAATTGTTTTTGTTTGATAATTTGAAAATGATGAAATTGAATAATTCGCAACACTTGAACGACATGCAGTTACACTTGCACATGATGAAACGTTTCCGGTTGGTACACTGACTTGACAACCAGTTCCAATGTGATAATGATAAATACCAGCTGCTTGACAATGAGCAAGACAAGCATCAACTGATTCAACAGTTCCACCTGCTGGTGGATAAAATGGATCAATATTATTTGCTGAATCAGGACTAAAAATCATTACACCATCAACTGAAACACCTGTTGCTGTGTTTAACGTTGTTGTACCATAATTAACAAAACCAGACGCTGTCGGAACTGTTGATACACTTGTTAGTGTACAAATTGCTTGTGAAAGTGTTGAAATACTGGAAAAATTTTGATTTAATGATTTCACGCTAACACTTGGATTGAAATTCACTTCGAAATCAACATTTAATTCAGCAAATGTCCCCATTGGAACATTGGCACAACGTGGTGGTAAACCATTGGTTTGAATACGAATTTTAATTATTCCACTTGCATTTCGACAAACTGCACTTAACTTTCGCTTCCAAACACAAACTCCATTGAGCGTTTGACCAGGACAAACCATTCCTGATTGGGAACACGTCACATTTACTCCTGTGGTTGCTGTTATATTTGATGCGGTGTAATTTATTGTGGTATGAAATGATGAGACAACTGTTTGGCAGTCCGATAAAGAATTTGATGTTGCCGCTTCAACATATGCAATATGAACAAAGAATATAATTACCAAGGCGATGCGTTGAGAAAACATTTTTCACGTGTTACAATAGTGTTGTAATGCGAAACAGAGAATTTTATACTGATGGAAAAACAAACATTGATCTTCTTCATGCCCACGTACTATTCCATATTTTCTTTAAAAACATTCTTTTTCTCTTCGTGTCACGATTCGGGTCGTTTGTGTGAATGATTGTTTAGTCAAAACGATTCCTTAACAACACAATTCGCGTCAGTTTGACTCGACAAAAACAATACATTATTATGTCAAAATCGAATCAAACAGTGAGATTCGAAAAATGATCCATTCCCGATCGTACGAGGGCGAACGTTAATTTTTCTAGTGTAGTTATGACCAGAAGGATTCGATTCACCTGTTTCCATCGTATGAAGGGCAGTGTGACTTAATAATCATACATTTTATTTAAGCCTTGAGCAAGTACTCAATTTGATGAAAGTTTACCGACGACGTCACTTTGTTTCTGTTTTTTTTTAAGTGCTTATTAATATTTAAAAATTATTCATCAAATGGAATACAATTAGTCAGTCAAACGAGAAATAATGTTTTTTTTCTTTTTCTCCTTCTTTCGGCAAATAATTGAAAGGTCAAAAAAGGTTTCTTTTTCAAGAATGTTTTCGAGTGACGTTCGCTATAATCACGTTGCTATTCATTTTGTCAAAATACTTTTACTTTCATTATTAAAAATGGAACTTTACCATATAAAACTTGTGAAGGGAAAGTGAAATACTCATCCGAGTAAATCACGAATAACTTCTCATTTTCTCTTGCAAAAGTTCTAGTCGAAACATATTGATGTTAATCAAAAATTTCTTATTATAACAGCTCAAATATACTCTTTCACACACTGAAGTCATTGCATAATCGTCATATTAGAGGAGAATGTGACTTGAATTTTTTGTTCGCTTGAATAATATCACAAAGCAGAAATGTCAGCAACAATCAGATTTGAAAATCGTCACACATTCAAAACGATTTTCAACATTTCAGTATCAATCATATTTTGAGTAAATTTTAACAGAACTTCTCTTATTCAATCGTGCGTATTTTTTCTTTACAATCTGAAATAGTGAAACGCTGCTCTATATGTATTGGAAACAATCAATGTATCATATCAAAACGCATTTAAATCAACCAACAATTTAGAGGGGAAAACTTTTGTGGAGAGATTCAACGAGGTCAGAGTCATTTTAATTCTCCAGATATGGTATTACGTCAATGACATTTGTTCTGACATAAGATAAACGAGAAAAATCAATTTTTGACTTTTAATTCAGAACTCAAAATGCGATTGCCGGTGTACCCTTGTCATCTACCGGAACATGGAAACAAGTAGTGGCTGATGTTAAAGATCACTTTACAATTGTCGTGTTATCCATGTGAAGATGTTGTCAGCACAAACGTATTTCAGAACATGTGGCATCAACAAACTGAATGCGACAGCAATGAAACGTTTCACATCACAAACGCAGTGGCGCAAACAGGGGAGGGGCAAATGGGCAATTGCCCATTCAAAATTTTTGAGGATCGTTTTTTCCCAGCAGAATCTTTTAAAAAAGACGCTTTTCCCAAGCCTTGCCTACTGAAATTTTGAGTCCTAAGCGACTTTTGCCCATTGCTCAAAAATTCCTGGTTGCGCCACTGATCTCACTTTTTCATATCACAAGTAAAACTTGCTTTGGTGGACTTTAGAGTGTGCAACTGACTAAATTGCATATAATGTGTGACTGTAAGATGATTGAATATGTTATTAATTATGATTTATAGCTGTGAAAAGTCATTTTTATTCAAGGCTTTATAACTTCAAAGATATTCTTTAAAACAAAATAAATATTATTCTACGAGAACTTTGTCTCGTGAATCAATATAGAGTTGTTAAATGTTCCTCTCGTAGTCACAATGCAAGAAGAGTATATTATTTCTCTATCAAATATTTTAATGTCATAATTTCTTAAATATATTTACAATTCATCGGAGATTTCCAAGCAGTTAGTAAACATTAACATACATATTTATGTAAAGATTTTTTTTGTTTAAATAGTCTCGAAATCAGATAGAATAACAAGGTATTTTATCTGATTTTCCTTGATTTTGATAAAAAATCCAAGAGAATATATGTAACTTGTCATTTTCTTTTACAGTCTTATTTCTCTATTTGCTTCACTCCTCATAGAATTGAAAGTAGACATGAAAATGTGTTTTCTCTTCATTTTTATTCTTTTGATTCATTCAATTGATGCGATTATTCTAACTCAAATTCATCGATCTTCACTTTATCAAGCTAATTCATCTTGTACTTTACTTGAAAATGTTACACTTCCAAGAAATGCATCGATTCAAACTTGTATATGGAAATGTGTTCATCAAGATAATTGTAAAACAGCCGTTTATTATCATGACAATCAGACCTGTCTATTATTTGGTGAAAATTGTCAAGTGGGTATCATAACATCGTCTAAAAACACTCGAGTAAGCGTGATTTGTTATCGAACAACTCAAGGTAAATTTGTTTCTATTCTGAATATTTCAAATAATTGATTTCTTTTTGTATCTAGATACTTATTGTCAAGCACCAGTAACGACGACGGCTTTTGCTACAACAATGAGTCCTGAACAAAGTATGTATTCAGTTATTCATAGCGACTTGTTGGAGATATGAGCTAATCAAAAATAATTCCATCATATTTTAAAAAAGTCGAGTGTGATTAGATGAGGCGCATATAATTCCTTCATTGGGACGTAAGTAATAATATACGATTTATAATTCTTTTTCAAGTTTTTCGACGTATGTAATAATGTTGTGAATAAACTCTCTGAGAATGAAAAGGTTAGTACCTAATAGCAGACTTTGATCATCTTAGAGTTTCGATACCTTTGTAATTGTATATTTCTGACACTATAGAAAAGTTTGATACAGCTTTGAAAACAGTTACTTTACATTAAATAAATTAACGCCCATCGTGTCCAAAAACGGAGAGAACATCGATGGTGTTGCATTATTCATTATAATTGATGAAATTCGATGTTTTGTGTGGAATCACTGATGAAAATCGATGGAAAGCTTCACAATAATACGTTTTTCATCAGTAATTCCACACAAAACATCGAATTTCATCAATTATAATGAATAATGCAACATCATCGATGTTCTCTCCGTTTTTGGACACAATGGGCGGTATCTGTTTCAAATTACATTGAACTTATTTTTCCATCTAGAAATATTCTTTTCATTGCCAAATCGTATTTAGATTGGACAAGAACTGGAAATATGAGTGTTGCCCGATATGTACATGCAGCAGCAATATTATCAGATGGAAAAATATTAGTTACTGGTGGACGTAATGGTAATTCTTATCTCAACAGTGCTGAATTATATGATCCATCGACAGGTAACTGGACAATCACTGCAAATATGAATGTTGCACGAGGATATCATACAGCATCGACATTATCAAATGGAAAAGTATTAGTTACTGGTGGAGATGGTGGCCCTTCTCTCAACAGTGCTGAATTATATGATCCATCGACAGGTAACTGGACAATCACTGGAAATATGAATGTTGCACGACAACATCATACAGCATCGATATTATCAGATGGAAAAATATTAGTTACTGGTGGACGTGATGGTGGTCCTTCTCTCAACAGTGCTGAATTATATGATCCATCAACAGGTAATTGGACAATCACTGCAAATATGAATGTTGCACGACAACATCATACAGCATCGATATTATCAGATGGAAAAATATTAGTTACTGGTGGACAAGGTAGTGGTAGTTGTCTCAACAGTGCTGAATTATATTGATTGTTAAAGATAAACAAAACTGACCTTTTATTTGCAAATAAAAAAATTTATTTACCGAATAAAATAAAACAACTTTCAAATAATGCAAAAACCAAACAAGGGAATTAACTGATCCTTTTTAATTTATCGAAATTGAAGAAAAATTTGATTCTAAGTGCTTGTTTTGCAATTTTGTTTGTACCCAGGTCGAACAATCCCATGTCGGGTCTCGTCGGATCCGAAACATGGATTTCCTGGATTTTCTAAGAGTCATCATAGAACATAGCTAAAAGGATCGCTAATAAAATTTGCAACAACCGACGGGATTTTTCTAGTCGGATTCGAATGCAATTCCGTTTCCAGGAATCAGATCGGATTTGTTGACCTGGGTATTGAAATTCTGCGAAAAAAATGGCGTTTCGGTTAATATAAAATGAATATAGGGCTTGTCCAAACGTAACGCTGTGACATTTTTCGTAACGTTGTGACATAATCTTTTGCTGATCATTTTTCAGACTCTTAGGATGCTTAGAATGAAGTGATTTTTTAAAGTGCAAGTCTACTCGGTACTGTGATAATTTACACCTGAAAATGGAATAGATATATGCATGTAGAAGCCCATATTAGAAGCAATACGTCGAGAACCTGAAAGAAGCTCACGAATCGCCTTTTGCTACAAAACCCTAACCTTAATATGTCATTTTGTAGAGAATCAATTTCTGCATCGAATAGCATGTAAAAGAATATGCTTTAAGAAGATTTTTTGCTGAGACCACCCAAAATGCGATTTTCAAAAAGCTTAAAAAATATTTTCATAGAGAAAAAAATCGGCTACGAACAAAATAAACATCAGATTCGTAATCAGCGCTAAAAACTACACCTGAAACTGTGTTTAGAAACGCTGTTATCGAAAAAAAAAATTTTTCAGAACTTAATCAGCGAAGTATCACTTTACGGGGACATGCCCTATAGTTGTTATGAGATATACGTATATTTATATTCACATGAAAAAACTTATTAATATGAAGCTAGCACTACGTAACTAGCACGAAAAAAAACCGTTTAACTAAAACTTTTTCTAAAAATGAATTCCCGTTGGTAAAAGCAGGCCTGCTCAATTCAGAATCTAATTCTGCATCGAATGCTGACATTTTCATCCGGATCTTTTCCTTCTATACGGGAGAAATATAATGATGCAAATAAAAATTCCTCCAATCGTTTTCCCATGAATAAAAATGTTACCATTTGGTGCAGAATTAAAACCTGAATTGAACAGGCTTGTTTTTATGACCGAGGATTCATTTTTAGAAAAAAAGTTTAGCTAAATAGTTGATTTTCGTGCTAGCTACGTGGTGCTAGCTTCACACCGATTTACTTATATGTACAGGCGATAAATAGAAAAAAAAGGCAAACTTGAAATAGTGCTACTGTATATTGATGATCCTCTTATCTGCACGTGCGTATATTATATAGCTTTGTCTTTCTGCTTCTTCTTTCATTTATTAGTCATAAATATTGAATCCTTGTTGTTTAAGTACGAACTTATTATTCAGCTTGTCTGCATGTTTCATTATCATCGGGCACAAAAACAAACGAACAACAATCACAGTACGTAAATAACTCTTTCTTGTAAGCGAGTACATAAAAAATATCTTTTAAAGTCAAAGTAATTAATTCTAAATTGGATTCAACATTTTCACCTATACACACATATCCTCACACACACAGTGCACATGTGTATGCCTACACAGAAAATGAAAACTTCGACTTCGAACCTGAAGTTTGTCACTATCGGAGATATTGATTCGGGTGTTTCTCCGTGTGATGGAGCTTCTCATTCCGAGTCAGAATCAGTATTTCAATAATCGAAAATCGTATTCCGAGAGGGAGAGATGCTCTCCTCCATGTTCGCACATACGCCACAGATGGATATGTATGGAGTGTTGGTGAGAATCTTAAGTGGGAAGTCGATCTTACGATCGATTGTAGGTATCGTTTTGCAATTTTTCTTTGAAATAGAGATTGTGATGCTCGGAAATTATATTGTAAGAGGAAGAAAGGCTCACTTCTATGTTGTTAGATCTGGTCGATATCGGTACATGTGGAAGGACGTGAGAATTTGATGGTGAGATCGAATTTTCTTGTTTATTGAAAGGATTGAAGTGGAAGTTTTTTTTTATATAAGGGGAATGTACCTCGGATATCGAGCCTCATGAGTGAGGCTATTACATCGTTGGTGAAGTGAAAGAAGCTTTATTTCAATGTTGAACACTGAAAAAAAGATCCGGATAATGATCTACCCTTGCCCTTTAAAAAATTGCCAATAAACCCTTAAAGGGTTTATTTCGATGTGATAAACCATTTGAGGATTGATCAGTCAAAGGATTTATAAGCGTAAGCGTTTATAAAAATTCAAGGGGTTTATAACGCTATAGAAAGATTTTCCATTCTTTAATTTTAAGATGCAAGTATGTTCGTCAACGGATGACAGTAGAGCAAGGTCCGCGTTCATAATGAGGGTATTGTATTATTCGTTTTTAGGTTTATTATTCTACTTTTTCGTCAAAAAGGTATATCAGCATGTTTTTCTGAGGGAGATTTTATTACCCCTCTGAAAAAAAACTCATTACTCTACGCCTGAGAGTAGATTCTTTTATCTGATTTTCCAAAGGGCTTCTTATTCTACGGTTCGCTATTGATTCATTCGCTTCTTAATCTAAAGGTTTAGCACTGCCCTTGAGAAATTATGTTCGATACCTTTCCGTTAGCAAGGGTATTTCGTTCATCGCCTAAGAGTTGATTCAACTTCTTTCTTCGCAAAGGAAGGTTTACTCTTACACTCTTTCGTTCAAGAGGTTTATTATTATGCGTGAAAGGGTTGATCCTTCTACCCTTGCGTTAAAAATGTTTATTATTGTGCGCACTAAGATTGATTCCTGTATGCCTTTATAGACGAGGTTTATCATTCTACAGACGAGGATTGATCTTTCCATCCTTTGATTGAAAAGGTTTATCATATTGTGTGTAAGGGTTTATTCTTCTACGCTTCTATTAGAAAGCTTTATTCATGTACACACAAGATTTGACTCTTTTATCTCTCGATTTCCGGGAATTTGTTGTTTTACGCATATGTATTGATTCTCCTACAGTTTTGTAAGAAGAGTTTGTCATAAGATAATTGAGTTGATGAAGTGTGAACAGATCCTGGGAGCAAGTCGTTTAGTGCCGTAGATTGTTTTTAATAATGATTCCATTATATCTCAGTTTGAGGATTACTCTGTTTATGTATCATTAGGGATGCACGTTTTTTTCAATATTTTATGCTAGACCGATGTATTTATTTTTATCATGTATCTTGTTGTGCGTGTTAGATATTCATATATGAGATACAATAGCTAGAGATGATGATGGACTTTCTACCAGATGAATATTTTTCTAATGTTTTTCTACAAATGAAGTAAAGAGTGTATGCGTTATGTGGAAGCAAAGAATTGCATAGTCTACGGAATGCGCAATATATCCTTTCATGATCGTTATTCCTTTTTATTTATCTCTCGATCTATAAATGCTGATGATATGAAAAAATAAAGGCGAATCTATATTAATTCAGTTAATCAATAAAATCTAATGACTATACTCATATCAAACTGTTGCATTGAACACGAAAGCTTAATATCATTATTTATTTCTCTGCTTTTCAACAGATCGAAATGTCTTTAGCCTCGCTAAAGTGGCTATACACATAACAGTTCATCATAAAACGATACCAGTTTTTGAATTACTTGTGATTTACATAACGTATGTAGTGTTCTATAACGAATACAATCTGCATATAAATCTCTTATTTCTCGGCAACATCCAAATAAATTTCATGAGATAGAAACAGTTAAACAATTTAAATACAATTTATATTAGTGGTCAACAGTAAAAGAAAATAGATTTGAATATTGGGAACGTTTTACAAATAATGATGATATAATGCATCGAATTCTGCTGACAATTACTTCCAATTAGCATTATCAGATGATGATGAGTAAGCGGTGTTTTAAAATTTTCGTTATCATTCAGTTTAATAGATGGTGCAGAAACCTTGGAATCGATGATGAATATCAAGAGTGTTTGTTTCCTTCATTTTACAATTACGTGAATTTTTTTTTGTAGCTATCTAGTAATATTACAGCAGTGGCCCAATTCTTCAGACGATATACTGTGTTGCGCGAACACTCGCCAATGTGATAGCCTATGATCCGATTGAGAAGTACAATATCGAGTAAATCATGCCGCGAAACTATTCATATAAGAGCATATTGAAAAAATAGATGTTCATGATACCTCTAATTCATTTCAATTTTTCAGGAATCAATTGTTTTCATCACGATTGGACAGTTTCGAATCAAGAGTGTACAACAGTTCTGTCTATCGATGATGATGATAGTTCCCCAGTGGCAATCTAGACAATTATGTTTCTGATTTCATTCAATGGGTATTGAAAAACACATTATTTTATTGACAATTCAAGTTGGTCTAATAAGCAAGAGACACGCTTTCCTTAAAGAAAATGTTATTTCTTTCTCAAAGCATATTTTACTTTGGATTTCTACATTCTTTTTTACACCGAATTGAGGTTTTTAATAGAATAAACCATATATTACTAAGCATTTTTAACTGGAGAGCATTTTTCAGATTATGATCAAGTTCCATTCTCGATCTAACCATTGAATCTTTTCTTTAAAATTAGCTGTGCAACACAAGCAATTCGATTTCATTAGCAGTGCGATTCTCATGTTTTCAAAGGTATTTTTGACGATTAACAATATCGTGAGTACACTCAACATCTATAGATGATATCACTTTTATTTATTGTAGAATGTAACCGAAATGTAAAATAACCACTTTTCATTTCTAGTGAGACCGTTCATCACGTTTTTTGTCTATCCTTTTTCGTTTTCTTCTTTCTTATTGCCATCATTTTATGCAATTCAGTGGACATCGACCACGCACTAACATTATAAGTAAATACTTCTTTGTCTTTCTTTTCTCAACCAACAGTTCAATTCGAAAAGCATGGATCTGGAAGAGCATGATAAGTGTTATATTACTATTTGCTTTATCTTCTTGTTCGTTTATAGTTGATTTTCCAATTCGAACAATATCATGCATCAAACTGCCTTGTGCGTGATGTATATTATCTCAACTTGATCAGTTTTGTTATTAGCCACCCTATACAATGACATCTCAACCATCGAGTCACATGGTAAGTGACTTGTCATTTTTAGTTGTCACTTTTTTCTTTTGCAAGCAATCATTCAATTTAAACTTTATCATTGATCCAGTCATTTACTCTTCAGTTATCTGATGTTATTACTTAAGTTTAGCAGGATCAAATATCGAGTAATATGATGAGAAATCATTTGTATTTTATTTTGCTTATTTTTATTCAATTACTTATTCTATTCAAGCAATATCATCCATCGATTTACGTTGTGCGACACTTATCTCTCAAGACGTCTCGTCGTTCCATTAATCGTCCAAGTAAAAAAATATGAAGTATCGGGTGATATGGTGAGTAATGTATAACATTTCACTTTTTCTGTTGCTTTTTCTCTTGTACTTAGCAAGTCAATTTATCTGATGTGAAATGTATTTATTTTGGAATTATTTCGATACGTCAAGAATTGAGCAACATAGTGAGTGTTACATCACTTCGTGTTTCTTTTCTTCTTTTCGTTTTATTTACGATCGGTTATTGAAATTAAACAATATCCTGCATCAAACGGTCTGTTATGTGGTTATATAACTTGTCAAGTTATTTGTGTTTTTTTTGCTCATCATTCAATTCTAATATCAAGTATCGATGAACAACAAAGCAAGTCTTGTATTATTTTCCACTTTTTCATTTAGAACTCGTTATTTAACTTGAACAAAATTATTCACCAAATCATTTTAAGCAATTAATTCTTGTTTTCTTCTTCCATTTCGGTTTTAGTTTTCCAATTCCAGTATCATCAAGCATTCGACGGCACGATGAGCGATATGTTTCTTTTCCTCTTTATTTCCTTCGATCGAGCATGCAATTGTCCGCACCATATGGTGCATAATATTGAGGGTGAGATATCTTTTCGAGCTTTTTGTTCTTCTGTTAGCTGNTTAATTGCCTGATTAGCAATTATTAATTGCCTGATTAGCATTTATTAACTGGCTGAATATATTGTGGGTGTGGGTGTAGGTGTGGGTGTAGGTGTGGGTGACGGTGTGGGTGGGGGTGGGGGTGGATTAGGGGATAACTCAAACGTGGAATTTTAGGTTTGGATGCTTAGAAGTTTAAAACTCGAGTGCTCGAATTCTAAACCGAAAGATTTAGAATTCGAACGAAAGTTTTAAAACTCGAATCGAGTTAACTATTTCTACACTACTCGTAGCGGTTAAACCCAGAAGCGAGCGAGTCTTTATATAGGAGCGTACGGAGAGCTTATCCATATCAAAATAGGGGTGTTCAAAGTTTTGATTAACGGTCCGTCATTCTTGACAGTTTTAAAACTTTCTATTGGTACTTGGATAAACGACAGATGTCGCTTACTAGAGTAGCCCAGTATGATCCGTCAAGTCAATAGAGATGAAATTATATATGAAGATTATTAGAACTTATTGACTGACCTATGTAGTCTGGCCTATTACAAGAAAGATATTGTTTTACAGAAGAATATGTGAAGCATGGACGTTCATCTGTCCACATATTGCAATGGAAATAGGAAGTCTTCATATGAATGAGTAAAATATCTTTCTGATTCGAAAGTATTTGTTTTCCTGTGCGAGCTTGCATATAGTTTCTACGAAAAAAAGTTACTATCAACCATCAACGTTGGGATAAAAGATAAGAGATATACTTGGTAACTCGGTTTTCTTCCCATGGCTGTTTATATACCACAGTTGTGGAGAAACTCGGGCCATTCGGAAAAAATTCATCGATAGTCAGAGTGAAAAGTTATGGCTTCTTACGAAATGTAAGTATTATTTTCGTATCACCGACTGAATTATTCACTTTGTTTTGTTTCTCATATTAGGTCGGATGTACAACGTAATCATGTAGTCGTGGAACAACCGCCAAGCATCAACAATGTGTTTACTCTTGCATCTGGAGAAAGAATCGCGCAAACATAGTATTGTGATGATAGTTGTTGCGGCTTCGGTTCGAAATACTATGTTATATTAACCGATGGAAGGATTATTCAACGAGAAGAGCAACGACGATGCGGTTGTACATGTGGACGCGTTGATTCTATGTTCTTTTTATCCGATATCAGTGGCATCACAGACAAAGCAGAATGTCGATGCCCTAGTCTGAACTGCGCCAGTTTATTGTGTATCCTGTTTTGTTGTCCATGTTTGGTTCTTTGTGCGCTGTGCGATTGCTCCAATTGTAGAAGAGGTGTTCCCATTACTCTGCGCGCGTTAACTGGTTCAGAAGTGTTCATATTCGATCGTAGATTAGTATACAATGCTTTAGCAGACATTCCTAATGCCGCACGACCTCATAAGATAACATCACAACCATCCCAAGCATCCATGTCTGTACACGGTGCACCCTATCCGGCAGTACAATATCCAGCGTTTCGTCCAAACGTACCAGATTACAATGCAGCATTTTAAACTCATTTATACAAATACTTTATTGCTAATACTGGTTGTTTTAACCTTAGGATAAAGTAATTTTCGTGTGATTTTATATAAATTTGATAAATTACAGAAAAGAAGCTATTACGGATTTAAAGGTAATGAATGTTTGATCGATTTTGCTGATCTGAGCGACCATGAGACTCTATCGTCGAGTCGTATTAGCTGTCGCATGGTTTATCGTATGTACACCAATACGATGATGTATGCTACACAACAGTTTCATTTTGATTGTAGCCCATAATTTTGATGTTGAGTATAATACAACAAACGGAATGAGAAAGATGAATAGATACGCAGTGTAGAAAAGATACTGTTCTTCATCTGCACCGATTTCTTCAGGTAAACCACATAGATGCGCAAGTGAAAGTAGATTCAACGGAAGAATAAAGACCATAGATAAAATCGCCATTAATAGTAACTGTACTGTCATTTTGCGATGTTTACGCCAATGAATTTGCTGTTTTAAACGTTGCTTTTGTCGAACTACACGAATTAGCAGAGCGATACTTACAAACGTGATTAAAAGTCCTGGCACAATATTATTTCCGATGAAATCCCACATACCCATCAATGAATCATTCTGATAACACGGTGATGCGTTACACACTGGTAAACTATAATCAAAAGTATTCTCACATGGAAAGATGAAAACAGCATAGATATAAAAAGACAATATATATAAAAACGTAACCATCAAAGGCAAATAGTGAGCACAGTATTGCGCACGTTTGGTTGTCATTAATCGAGCATTGAATATAAGAATATGTCTTTCGATGGCTGCCCATGCCAAAAGAATTTGTTGACCATTAAATAATCCATAAGTAACAAGCCACCAGATGAGACAAGTTGCTGGAGTTGAAGGTTTTACAATACCCGAATCGATAATATATGCGAGATGAAAGGGTACATCGACTAATTCAACACCTAGACCACATATTAATATAAGAATAACAGCATGATTATTCAATGTTTGTCGAGCTGAGTGATTCTTCCAGAAGAAAATCAAAAGAACGAAACTACAGACAACTGATGGCACATCAGCTAGAAGAAAAATCCAAAATCGAACGGGACGTGGTATAGGCACTTCGATACTTTCGAATGCATTCTCGTCCGAGTCATTAGAATAAGTTGTCATTCTTCTGCGAGCGATGCAAAAAATGAATGCCGGAAATCATTTCATTGACACTTTATATATAAACTGCACCTGTCAGATCCAGACAGCCATCTACACGAAGAATAGCGACAAATTTTTTACTTTTTTATCTTTCTACATTATGTATTTATGCTGTAAATCATGATTCTGTAATCATTTAACGACTTATGAGTCTTGTGCCTTGCTATATTTGAAATCATATTATCTTTTGATTGAATTATATGTGAATACAAAGAGAAGTGAAAATTCATCCAATTTGTTAATAATATATATATATATATGTCGTGCTGAATTTCCGGTTCGCTACTTATAAATTCTAAAAACATGATATATCAAAGCACAATTTTGAATAATGCCAATTATGAAAGCGTGCAATTCTCTTTCTGTTATACCCATGACTGTGCAGAGTGAAATCATGTTAAATCTCTCGCTCTCGTTACTGAAGAGTGTTTCCATCTGGTGTAAAAGCTCGTCTCAATCAAATAATTAAAAATCTCACAGATTATTATGCCCTGAATTCTTTCGAATTTTTTGCATACGTTGATCGTGGCACATGTCCACATCGAACGCCAGATCTCCAGAAGAGTACAATGATATTCGCTTCATAAGGATGTCTTCCAGAAATGATTGTTTTAGCCGTCGTTTTTAGATCATACTCGAGTGTCCATTGAACTATGCGTTAATTTTTACGCGTGAACACAAAAGAAATAATATAATATCATTTCCTCTCGGTTGTATTGAGAGAATTTAATACGAAAATGTGTTCCTGTTACATTTGCTTTTCAGTTCCGAGTCTCTTTTTTCTTCGCATCATCGTCATCTATCCTTAGCAAACTGTCACAGCAAATAATGATGATACAAAAAAATGAATTATTGATGGTCTACCATTAATACCCCAAAAATAACTAGAATTTTGCGCGCAGTTACCAACTTAGACTTTTATTTTAATGCGAACAAGAAATTGTATATAACAGATAGGAGAAAAGAATTGTTCGAATTAATTGAAACTCATACATATATTATCCATTTAACATATTCAATCGTACGCTGCAGTAGCTACAGCAGAAAGAAGAGTGAAAGAGCGATTGTTCAAGCTTTGTATAGTCATCAGATTGCCATATTCATTTAACATTGTATAATTACCGCTGACAATACCTGTGTAATATCCATTTGAATTTTGTGAATCTATATTAATATAAGCATTTGTCCAGGTAAGATTTTTATATCCGTTGAGAATGAATGCTGCATATTATTAAAAAAAACATTCTTTTATTTATAGACGAAAGCTCCATTGGTAAACTCAGTTTCTCTGATCTAACTGGTTCACCATATACAAAGACAGAAGAGCGTATTAGATTTTTTGACTTACAATTTCGACCATCAATAACTTCAAATCTTCGAATGCGACGGTTTCCTCGATCAACAACAAATAGATTTTCAAAACTATCGAAACTAATACTCCATGGATAATTCAGTTCATTTGAATTTTGGCATCCGATTAAACATTGAAACACATTTGTACCAAATCTAATTATACAATGATTTTCATAATCTGCAACATAAAAAACCAGACTAGTATTAACAAATGTTCCAAGTGGATTGGAAAGAGTTGTTGATGTTGCACCTGCAGAACCTGTACCAGCAACAATGATTATATGATTGAAATGATTTGATAAGGATTTCGCTATGATCTGATGCCTATCGCTCAATGAACAACACATGATCTTTTCTACGCTAACGGATATGTCTGCATATTGTTCGCAAAATTTCATTCGTTCAATTGGTATTGTTTCATTTCTATTTGTTAACACACTCACATTCTCACCCAATTTACCTGAAAGTTTTCTCAGTCCTTCATCAAAATGAACTTTTCTTCATATTTTCGAGTGATGAAAATACTATCGACTTTCTTTTTCTGCTCAAATGTCGATAATAAACATAGATAAAAATAAACTGTTTTGATAACTCTGGTAGAGAAAAACACTTGTTATCATTTTACTTACTTTTTTGCCGTAGTCAACATGCTTATCGGTCTCTTAACAATAGCACTCTCATCTGTTTTAACAGGTAATAATGCACATCCTACTTCAAATATTCCAGCTCATGTACGAACAACAACATCGATTAACGCTAGTATTTGGATGCAACAACTTCTTCCTTATATTGCTCATTATCACTTAATTAACTTGACTTTACCCGGCACACATGATGCTGCATCATTCACCCTTACCTCAGCTTTATCTCCTGATCCCACTGGAAGTCCAGTGCTCGATGCCCTGGTAAAACTAGCAGAGGAATTCGGAATACCGTTGCAAGATGTGATTACACCATGGGCAGAATCGCAAGGAAAGAATTTATACGATCAAGCGGAAGATGGCATGCGTTATTTTGATATTCGCGCTGCGTACAATGGTACAGATTGGTGTTCATATCATTTCGAACTCGGTTTACCTATTTACACTCATCTGGTTGCATTACATTCGTTTCTATTATTACATCCAAATGAAATTATGGTCATTGAAATTTCGCATCTCGCCAGCAAGAATTTAACACAGGACAATTTGAACGTCTTGAGAGACATGGTTATCAACCTATTCGATTCGATGTTATATCCACGAACGAAAAGTTTCAATAGCACAACTATCGGTGAAATGATTGCCAGTAATCAACGCGTTGTGATTAGTTTAAGTGACGATGCTACGATTGCCAATTATACTCAACTATGGTATGGTTCTAGCATGATTAATTCTTATGCTAATTCAGACTCACTTGCACAAATGACTGCTTATAATTGGCAGCAGGTGACTCAGTTCAATTCGATTCCTACGTTACCTGTTTCTG